AAACTTCTGCCCAACATAAGGAGGATCGGATCGGATTTCTAAGCACCTGAACTATAAAAATCTATACAAGAATGGATCCTAGTTTCTGTGAGTATGGGACATTTTCCATCTTAGGATATTGACTTCAGCTAGCAAATGCTTCACTCCTGGTCTGCACATATATATAATGCTGCAGCCGATTAAATTCAATCACATGCTTGTGACCTGATGAAAAAAATGAACGTGTTATTCGTTTCATTCTTTGTTTATTCCGATATAGAACAATGACTGATTAGATGCAATCCCAAACATAAGAGCACAAGCGAATCTAAGCAAACCGAATACCTTAGTGTCAAGTTTGATTGTTTTGATGAATTTCAAATTTTGTTTAAATTTAGGTTATTTACTTCACTAGCTGAATTCGGATGAACTTCTATCAAGTTAAACTCGAGTAGTTTGAGTTTTTAATATATAAATTTTATTTCTACTCCAATCGAGTCAAATTTGAGCGGAACTTGAAAATTTGTCAAATATAAAATGCTATTCAAATTTAATTTTTTATTCAGATTCAACTTAATCAATGGACGAACTTGTTTCATCTCCCAGTGGTACCCAAACACTTGGGTCAAATACACCCATATTCGCATAAAGCTCAGCGAATTAGCACATTGATCATGGTTGGAATGGCATCAAACAGCCTTTTACATATTCAGATACTTTTTGACGTCTAACATTGTTGACCGTCGTCTACATTTCACGTGGAATAAAACCGCAAATCACGAAGTATGTATTTTAATCTCTTCTAAACTTGTTACTTGCCACGGAGCAAGTGGGTAGAAGAGCACTCATTATAGGGTACCACATTGATTAGCTAAATAAATTAATCCATTGGGTGTAAAAGATGATTATAGCTGTGGAGGCTAGGCTTAGCACTAGCATTATTTATGATAATTTAAGGTTAGTGGAGCGATGACGTCCTCCATCGTTAATTTGAATGCTAGGAGTCCGAATTTGAAAACCAAAAAGCAGCCCGTCACCTGATGTCTCGTGAAATCCTTTATTTTTTGGTCCTTTAACTAACGATGATGAATCTGCTACCATAAAATATATTTTTTTTGGGAAACTTCATTGGAAACGTGTGTTATAGTACATAGACGGCGAAGAGTAGTTTATAAATAACTACCGCCACCGGACTTGGGATTCTTGGACGGAACCAAAACAAACACGACTACTTCTACTTTGCACTCTAATGTTTTTACAATAATCTTCACTTTGTGCTCTCAACTTTTGTGTTCAACACATCACACCCTAAATTTGAGAATTCATATCTAAATACCATAATTGTATGCATTATCAATTTCACACGAACAATACGCACCTATACACCATGACACCATTTGTAATCTACTGTTAAGAAAGTGCGCTGGTTTCTGCAGTCTCGCTCTCCTCCCTAGTGGTTTCAAAAATATCACAAACTTCCTCTGAGGTTTAGAATCAGCCCATGATATCAAAAGTGAACATAAAAAAGTGTTTTTAGGAAAGAGAGGGAATTTTGTTTCCATAAATGCCCCTGAGGTAAGTGTACAATTTATATTAGTGAAATAATGAAAATTAATAAAAATAAATTAGAAAAAGGGATAATTTCAGATACAATATGTTATTCATCAATAATATTATATCAAAAGCTTTTACTAGATGGCTATTTGTTCCAATTGCATATTAAATCAATCATTAGTACTTATGAGAGTGCATTAAATATTTAGTAGAGAGGTAGTTTAATTCAATAAGTAGCATATATATAAATACTTAGTGAATGTACAATTTGGTTGAAATAATGTACACCGTGTTATCGACCAAGTACGATGCATAGAAATTGTTGAACATGCAGTTATTTGTTCACATGCATATTGCAATTAGTCATCGCAGCAATATGTATAATGCAATGATATGTATACATCTGTAATGGTTATTGGTGCCTTAACCCACTTGTGCATCTCCTTACAAGTTGCAGTGGGTATGTAATTTTATCTATATGACTAATACTAATTTGCCTATAAACACTTTACACGGAGTGATTTATGAGGTACAATCAATTTACAAATATATACATTATGTTAGATGTTAGTTACTTGACTGTGTATATCTATAAAAGATAGTGTAATGGTACGCATAAAATTGGAATGGTTAGGTGTTAAAAAAATATACATCATGTTAGGTGTTATTTATTTGACTATGTATACATGTAAAATGGAGATTAGATACAGCGTAGAAAAAAATAATTACGTGAGTTGGAATGTATTTGTCCTGATAATCACGAAATATTAGCTGACTTGTGAGGGTATTTAAGTCTTTTTGGCCATGATGTTGTAAGAAATGGGACCTAAATTCTGACAAGGGAGGTTTGTGATATTTTTGAAACCACAAGGGAGAAGAGTGAGACCGTTAGAAACCTCAGGGGAGGTATCTGAAATTATCCCAATGACGTTACCACAACATGTTTTTAAATCCTGTAGTAGATTTCTTTGAAATAACATCAAAGCGCTTCACTAATCAAAGGTAAATTCATTATACAAAAGGCGAATTTGTTATTTCAAGCGATATATGTTGTGGAACCAAAAAAGGTGTTGTGATGATATCATTAATCTTTTATCTATTTTCTTTGACAATATAAGCGATTGAAACTATTTGGACCATTTTAGCAGATTTATGAGTATGAAGTGTCCAAAATAAAAGTTAAGGGTGTAAAATATGACATTACAACAAATATCAGTGAGCGCGAAGCGACATTAGTCCAAACAAAACACTACTCATATACAGAGTACTAAGAAAATCAAGCAAAAGCAAATACAACAGAAGAACAATTTCCCAAGGATATCTGAGTCAACTGGGGCGCCAACCATACTATTGCTATAGATGTCTAGACTCTTATGTGCATCTTTATTTGGTCTCAAGAACGGTGACTTAAGCTATTAAAACCAGTAACAATCAACAGGAGGGTTTCTGTTCTTCTATCCGCTGGAATATTGGTATCGCAACAACACTGCTTAGGATATGCATGCCGAAGCCTGATTATAACTCTGCCACGAGTTTCTTATCAAGTAAAAACCAATAATCTGTACCTTAAATACAGAATAAACATTTCAGAGTATGATTACGACTCTATCGTCAATTTCGATAAAGTAATAATGACTGAGTACCTTTTATGTGATTCACGGTGGAATGAAAGGACTATCCTCGTTTCTCTTAATTTATATGCTAAAGAGTTCCTAACTTTCACTGCTTGGCAGGCCCATGCAATACATTAGGCTTTGCACAGCAGTTTGCAAGATATGGCGTACGTGAAGATAGCGAGTCCCCACTGCAAAGCATTATGACGAAGCTTTTGCATTTGCCATTGAATGTACGTACCAGACACATATATTTTAAAGCTTGCTTTCTTCTTTTGAGATTGGCGTCGATTGTTTACAACGAGATCAAATGGTTCGGCCCCGGAACTCTGATTTTTTAAACTTTTACTCCATACTTGGTGACAAAGAAAGCACACGAGAGTTATTTTATTTCTCTTAGGTATATCCTGATTCTCACTTTACTCTCTAATCTTTATTTGTGTCATTTAACCTCCAAGAGACAAATTACCCTTTCACCATGCCGATTTCCCCCCCCCCCACCCCTCTCTTATCTTTTTTATTCTAAACTAGGTTTGAATTGTTTAGTTTGAGAAGATAAAAATTTTCTCCAACAAAAAGTATAGGAAGTCCATTTACTAATTTATAAAATTGAATAAACTATACATATTTCTTCTATGTAATTAATTAAATACAAATCAAGTTCATCTATTTTCCAATTTAAGAAATTAAAAAATATATATATATTCCATTTCCTTATGCGTAGACAATTCAAAGTCAATTACGCATTTTGTACAATCACGCGTTCACATGTCAGGTATTTGGGTTTTTTTTTTCCCTTGTCTAATAGGTTTTGTTTATTAGGATCTTTTCTTTGCAATTTTTTCAAAATAATCAATTGTTAGTGTATTCTCCAATACACATGCTCCTTTCATGTAAAACTTTAATACCATAAATTAGAGCGGTCAAAGTTGAACCACATGTTAAATTTCATTGGAAAAAAGAGGTAGAAAATCTTAAAATAAAAACGTAGTATAGTAAGGGGGTATTTTTGTTAGAGGTCAAGCTTGCAGACCCATTAACTCACACAGATATTAGAGGTCATGTTTGTTTGTTTGTTTGCACAGATAAGTACTTTGCAGGCGCATGATTGCTGGTAATTATTGCAGCGATCAACATTTTAAAAAGCCCTAATTGCTGCTATCGTACGAACATGACCAAAGAAAGAGTAATTTAAGATCTCAATTAATGGAGCGTACTATTAAAACTCACTTTAATCAACAGCGAGCTTAACAACTCACGACAGGCAATTTTTTACAGTTTGATCTGATGTTTCAAATGTTTGCTAAGCTGTCCTAACAACTCAATCCCCAGACTACTTAAATATTGTAGTGCCATGACGAGTCCACAGAATCAGGCACACACTTTAAGACCAAAAATCCACTAAATTTTGGAGTGGTAAGAGGAGTCCACATAATCTTTATGAACTCAAACCCAATCCAAGCCGTAGAACAATTACCTTCCTTGGCCCATAAATTCATTATTCCAATGGATAAGGACAAAGGAAACAAGACGGCCCCATTGTTCTAAACCGTAAAGCACCAACAGCAAAAATTTACTTATATTGGCAGAGCACTGGTTTAACTGGAAAAAGACACAGACCATTTCCTACGTGAAACTGGGCTTTAGGCTGCGCACCTTTTCTCATCTCAATTAAAGCAAAGGGATGCAGGGTCTCTTTTTCGTCAACCGCATCAGTCCAATAGCTAAATGACGACACTATAGTGACGCTTAATCAAACTCCAGCACTGTTTTAACTGTGGACTAGTATTTAATTATATTATAATCTATAGCAAGGGACGTAGAGGATAAACAGACAACTGAAAAGAAGCCGTATACAACAACAGCAGAAAAACCATTTTCTTTTAATCGAATTGACATTTTTTTTAATCAAACAAATAGCCAGTCAAAAACCTCATGTCCTTCAAATGTTATTTAGATGAAGCATTGCCGGCACTCCCGCCACTAAGATAATTAAAGACTTGCTTCAAATTTCCTCTGGAGGGGCGAGCATTTACAGCAAATTTACAGATAAAAACCAACCGCCGTCGCAATTCTGACTTAGTCATATGTGTCTCGCTGAAAGACTTCCCATCATCGAATTGTCCTGGTGAAAGTTTTAAACATTAGAAATGACCGCTTAAAAGACAAATGGTGATCTAGCAACAAGCCCCATCACAACAGATGAAAACTTTCAAGCAGGCTCCTACATGATCAGTTAAGAGTAATTGTCTAAGAAAGAGGCGAAAACAACAATACAAAATTGATCCGGTACCCCCAAAAAAAAGAATCATGATTTGGTTATATATCTTAATGCATACCTTTGTCGTTGAATAATGATACCAAGATTGCCAGACAAACACATATACTGATGTCTTGTCCTGCAAGAAGAACAAATTTCATCACATTTAAGAAGATACACAAAGATCTTAAGCCAGGTTTAACGCGTAAAAGACACCATTAACAGGAGACCTAAAATGTGGTTAAACAGGCTCTTCTACTATCTATACCACATGAAGAAATTAAACTGCAGCAAAGCATATCCTATAAATTCTCATTCCCAACAGATGTCTCCGAAAAAAAAAAAAAAGGTTTGAACTATGTTTAGCTGCCATTGGTGGCTACATCTCTAGGGTCATTTTAAGGCTGGAAATTTGATGAAAAAAGGGGGGAAACTATTTTTTGTGACAGAGAACAAAGCAGAATGCCAATTACCATTGCAGTGGCAAGGCTGTAATTGGGGTAAATGCTCAGCACAGCATATGATAATTTACAAAACAAGATAAAATGTCAAGGTTGCAAATGAAGGACTAACTCTACCCCCACCATATGAAGAGAAGCGTGTAAAGAATTAGTTTATGAGCTATAAAATTGGGAAGGGGAAGAGATTCCATGCCATTTCCGTAGAGGAGAATACAGTAATTGCAGGACACAGTGCTTACCATCATTGCAGCAAATAATGAGTCTTTTCCCTTGCCTTAAGTTCAGCCTAGCAAAATCCAGGGCATAAGGCAGATTTCTAAACAGGGAAAACCGATCAAATTTTGAGCTCTGTCCATGAAAAAGAAAAGAAAGTGTACATGAGAATGCATTATAGCATTTGTTACATTTTTATGTAACACCTCTCTCAGACAAAATTCAGCAATACATACAACAATTTGCAGATGTAAATAAGCTTCGGTATTCTCTAGGCATCGTGAAAGTGACTCTCCACCGCAACACAACAAGCTGTCACTACATGAGATCTCCATAGCTGCATTTTGTAAATCTTATTCAGAGGTAACAAAAGGACTTAAACAACTAATAGCCACAAATGCAGCAATTAATAGACAGAAAACTGATGTGGACACATGAAGTTCGTAGTCAGTCTACTTCGTAGCTTCAATCATGACGGAGAAACAAAAAATCGGCTCATTCTCACAAAAACTATGCAATCAAAGCACAAAGCTCCAGAGAAGAAACATTAATGCATATATTAAAGAAGGGAACAATAAAGACTACCGCATAAGACTGCAAATTATCTTACTTTTCAAAATAGAGTAGCACTTCAAAATCATAATGTATCTTAAATGGTGTATAAAAAAAAAAAAGTGATCCCAAGCACCCTTGGTAAGGAGATACACATTTTTATTGTTGTTCTTGAATAGTTGAAAATGCCAAAAAGGACTCATGGTATGCAAGATGAGAATGAGAACTGGTGTCATTACGAGTTATCTTAGCTCCCTATAAGTGGAGATCTCACTGTCTTGCTGTTCCTGGGATTATCCAATTGCACTATACCAGGGTACAACGACCACATAAGTTGGTTTCCACACAACTTGTCATCATTGTTTTGTGTGACTCTGTTTATCCATTTTCACAAAAAAAAAAAAAAAAGGGTAGAATTTCTACTGCCATTTGAGTTCTTGGAAATCAGCTATTTACAAAAAGAGGATAGCAACAACGAAAGAGAAACAAGAACAAGCATTCAGCCAGGAAAAGGAGAATAAAGAACCAGTATACCAAGACGAGTTGCACCAACTGCTACATTCGTCAAGTCCAGCCAGAATATGGTAGAGTCATCTAAAGCACTTGAACTTGAAGAGTCTTTATTTTCATCTAGGTTTGGAACTTCCAGTTCCATTGGCTGTTTGATAGGTAGGTCATCCAAGGTCCTTGAAAACTTTGAAGGCCTGACAGATATCTGAGAAGCATTTCCCCCTCTTTGAGCACGATATACTCTATCCTTTTCAACAATGTCAGCCACCTTCTGGTTACATAAATTGGGTCCTGAGCTTATAAGATCGTATGCATGCTTCCAGAAAAGGTTAGGCGATAACCCTCTAGCCCAACTTTCTTCATCATCTCCAGCCCCAGGAATATAATTCCAACTAAACTCAGAGGTGGTCTTTTGCTGATAAGCGCCATTTGGGGAGGAAGTGGACACTAACATTATAGGTGTGAAATCCCAAGAATCATATTCAGGCACTTCATTTAACCAGATGACAGTTTTTTGAGAGATCCACAAAGAACGCAGTGGTTTTTCCAGGGACAAAGCAAGAGACGCAATGTCAGCTCCACTTGCCTCTAGTTCCGCGGTCCAACCTTCCAAGCGGTCCTCAATAAGCAATTTCTCAGTTTCTGATACCCAGAGGGGAAGATGCAAGGAACAATCCCAATCAGAAGAGACCTGCATTGTATCATCTTCTCTAGGTAAATCAGAAACATTTGATACCCGTTGAAGCACAGGTATATCAAGATTTATGCAGGTAATATATTGTACAAGAACTTCTGTCAACAGAGCTAGTAGTTGTGCATTAGACAGCTCAGTGAAACAGTTGACCGGTCTTTAATTACCCTTCAACATGGAGAAGTGAAACAGTTGAAGAGATCTTAAGTCAAAAACAGTATATTCTGACTGCACAAGCAAGACAGAGGATACAAGCACAGGAAGATGCAGCATCCCAAGAGATATACTGCACAAATAGTAACAACACAACATACACAAACCAGCAACAAATTTGTAACAATTGTAATTTCCAATCCTACAACCAAACTGTCAAAAACAATGTAAAATTCACAAACCTTTAAAAAACTTGTTACTTACTCTATCCTGGGGACTTCCAGAGCCACCTCCCACTGATCTATTTCTGTAATTGAAGATTGCACGATTTAATACACAGGTCCAAATCGGAATGGTCTTTGACATACTATCTGGAAATCTCTTCCCTTTTCTGGTCGAATCAACAATCATGCATCCTCCCTTCTGTCCTACCCATCCAACATAAGATTAACTCCATAATCCATAGAACCTATCCTTTAACAAAAACAGCTTTTTATTGGATCAAATATTTTTTCATCGAAGCATCTACATTTATACCAAAAACCATAATGCAGTTTCCTGACCATCCTCCGCATAAATTGAATATAACTTACCAACGAAATAAGTGAATGTCGCTATCCACAGAGTTCAGAATTGATACTAAGCTACTTATACAAACTTTTATTCCTGCATTACTTAACTTATTTTCGCTTCTATTTTCTGTTACCAATTCTCATACTCCTAAGGCCCAGTAGGATAAGAGTATCATAATCAAACCAGTTGTAGCCTTATTTTCTGCTCATAAAATGATGTCAAAGCGTAATTGCTATGTCCCATAATACTAATAAATTCAGAAATAATAATGGAAAGAAAAGACACAGGAAAATTGTCTAAAAAATATATTACAGTCATCCAAAATAAGGCGAGAGGTACCGGCGAGGAGGGCGACGTGGAGGTTGAGGCGAGAGGTATTGAAGGACCAATTGTTGGTGTGGCCATCAGTGGATTTGAAATAACAGGTGGATTGAAAGTTGGAGGAGTACCAGAGGCCGCAACGGAGGTTGGCGAGCAAGGGAAGCTCCGGCCATATCTGAGAGATCTCACCGACGAAGATAGAGTCCTCGTAAATCGAGCGGAGAGCGTTGTAGAGAGTGTTATCTCTGCGCTTTATGGTCCGAGCTGCTTTGTATATGCTTAGTCGTTCCATGTCTAAGTCTAACGCCGCCGATTCCATTTCCATGCCTGCCTGCCTGGCGACTGAAAATCGTTCGCGCTGGTAATAACGTTCGGTGCAGCCTGGATGCAGTTGAGAGAATTTCTAAGATGGGCCTTCGTTTTCGAGGGGCCGTCTAATGTGATTGAAATACTAATTACTGGTTGAAAGCATGAAATGGGCATTGCAAAGTTATTGGGCTGAGCATGATGCGTGCTCTTCTGAATTTTTTTTCTTTTTTTAACTATTTTATTTTTACACTCTGCTGAATTTTGTTAATTCTTCTCTTTAATAATAAAAAAAATTGAAAAATAAAAGAGATCTACCTTTAAAATATATAGTACTCCAAATATATTTATATTTCAAGTATTGATAAATTGAGTTTTTTATTTAATTTTATTTTTTACAAATCAGTTGCAACTCGGCCGGCGGAGCAGGACAAAAGCAACAGCATGAATGAATCTACCTAATTAGAGATATTAATACACAATTATTTAATCCTTACCAGATGAGCTATCTACGAGAAGTGATTAATTGTGATAATTAAAATTGCTACAAAAGTTTTCAATTCATCGTTTTTTGTGCGAAAAGATTTGTCCCTTTGCCGATGATGATATAGCAACGCAAGCTTCCAAAATGAGAACTTTGAGATGCTCAACAAAATTGGCGCATGGATCCGCATAACACCTATACATTTATATTCAAGCTCTCGACTCGATATATAAGAGAAATACTCGAACTTAAATTCGAACTCGAATTCAAACGAATAGTATTATTGAAACTCGACCTCAAGCTTGATGATTGTTTACTGAACTCAAATTCAACTCATATTAGCTCGAGCCAATGCGAATCTTATCGAATTCGAGTCAAAAAAATTTCATTTTCTTGACAGTTTTTGAGTGAAAAAATATTATTATCCTTTAAAAAATTTTCATACGATTTGAAATATTTCATAAATTCAACCACTTTTTTGAACATAAGGATAATTTCATAATAATAATATATTAAAAAATTAAAATAAAAAAAACTCGATAAGACTTGACAAGCCTTCAAGCATTACATCTGAATACTCGAACTCGGCTTGCTCGGCTTATCAACCTCGACTCGAATTCAGTTTGAGTCAAGTTTTTGACTGCTCGCAAGCAACTCAGTTTGATTACCGCCATTAGAAAGGTCCTTTCAGATTTGAATAGTGTTAGGATTAGTAGTTCTTACTCATTCAAAAGAAAATAATGTCTGACAAAACAAAAAAAAATAGAATAGTTAATTAAATGATTATAGTACACTACCATTCAAGACCATTGTTACACTCGAATATGAGAGCTATTAAGATACATGAGACATCAAGCTTCAAACCACAATTCTTCATGCAGTGATAAATGTTCCCCGGAAGAAAAAAAGGGCAATACATAAATCAATTTGAATTCAATTACGGGCTTAATCAATCTATCGCATAGTTCCAGTCTTTGCTGCATTCTTGAGAACCCCTGAGGACGCAGATGATGCAGGATTTATGGCTTTCCTTATCTTGAACACGTTCCAGGCGAAGCCTGCACAGTGTCCTGCAGTCGCCAGCACGTCTTCGGTTGCCTCCCCTGCACTTTCTCCAAACCTGTGTTTTTCCAGTATTACCAAAACAAATCACAAATCTTTGCTGTCATTATTCATCACCAAGAAAGTATAGGTGGAGCAATGTCGCTTGAGAGAATGGATGGATCATTAAGCACATTTACGATTAATATGGTGGTTTATTCGAGTGGCGTTCGGATTCTTGATATGCATGAAACATTCAGGATCGAATATTGTAGTTAGGAAAACATTTTGCAAACCAGAAGACCATACAATGCTTTCGAACCTATAACAAGAAGCATTTGCAAGAATTGGGAAATGAGAAAGAAAACCACGCATGACTCTTTCAATTTTACAAGCGCTTCACCTTTTCGTCACCATCCTTGTCACAGCGCCTGATGTAGCAGACAAAGCCTGTTTCTCAGCAGCTTCAGCTGCATCGATAATCTTGTCTGTGGTTTTATGGACAATTAAAGTACCACTAATTAATCTATTCTAAAAGACAGAAACTGAAAAAAAAAGTCCAAATTTAAGGATTTCGTAGAATGCATAAAAGGGCATCCAAATTTAAAGTTTTTACTTACTGACAGCATCAAGGGAAGCCAAGAGTACCTCCCCCGGTAGCATGGTGAAGAATGCCTTTCCAGCTTGTGATCGAACAACTGGTGCCATCACTGACCCAGTGGCAATACCAACCCCATCAAGCATTGCTTTGCTCATCTTTTCTGTCATCTTGGACAACTTTCTCACACTTAAAAAAAAAAAAGATTTTTTTTTGTGATGTGAGGTTAGTTAATACTTTCCACTTGCCAAAATAAAGTGACAACTTTCTCCCACTAATGAATTGGTAAAATCCAGTTAATACTTTCCACCTTCTGAAATAAAAGTGCTCTCTGGAATAATAAGCTAATGCAGGTATTGAAATTACATAATACCGTTTCAGGCTTTTATTCACGGCATTCTTCTTTTGGGAATCACTATTATTGCTCCTTTTACTGGAAGTTGCCGAAACACTATTTCCCTCCGCTACCAAAATTGTTTCCCCTCCTTTATGAACCTGCTTGTTGCAAGCAAATTCCGTGTTCAGAATGCAATCTTGCAAGATTTCAGGCAAATGGAAATGAAAACTAGTAAAACTGTGAAAGGAAAATCACAAGCGTCGTGACCAGACAGCAAAGCTTTCTAGAAGCTGAGTAAGAAAGAACACCTTTCATTTATTTGCTCAAATGAAAATTTGGTTTTGTAAAAATGCCTTTTGACCAGGAAAAAGCTAAGCTTATGGAAGCAGTAATTTCAGGTTAGCAGGGAGCAACTTTAATATTGTTATGTTGTTTAACTTACTAAGACTGACCTGATTGGCATAAGCATTGCTACATTTGAAGATTCCCTTGACAATCTGGCCCGTACCTCCCGCAATAGCCTTTGCCAAGACATGGTTATAGTTATCAATTCTCGGTGCAAACTCCTTCCAATTGACGTTCTTATTTTTAGTCGACGATGCTGATGCTGTCAATAATGCATGCTCACTGAGGAACGAGTCCAGCAATCCCAAATTCCCGCTGTTCAGTCCTGAAAATGTTATGCCATAACTCAGAGGGTCACCATCTTTCATTGGTAAAGAAAACAGATAGTGAAGAGCGTCAAGCTTCACCACAGGTTCATCTTTTGTCAAAGGCCACTGAAGTTCATCACCAATCTTTATGACAGTAGCAAGAGAAACATTATCATCTGATATACGAACAAGCTCGAAATCTCCGCTGGCGAGCTCAACGGCTTCTCCTGCATCCATCAGATGAGCTTTGCATCCGGGAATGCTCAATAGAACTTCATGTTTTACATTTTTGCTTTCTGGGATTTCTTGCTTTGGTAACTGATCAGCCGATGCTGGAGTCATGGTTGGGAAACTTTTCGATCTCTTGGGCCTAAAGCAGTTCATTTTTCTCTTCCTGTAGTGAAAATGAGAACAATCATAGAGAAAGGAAAGAAATGATTGTGGGAGGAGATTATAAAGATAAAAAGTAGATGGTTAACAGAGAAGGTTGTGCTGCGATTGATTCCATGATATAGTAGCTTTATTCCAATCTTCAAAAGCAAGGTCATGTCAAGGTATTATTCTTCCTTTCGTTCCTGATTTCTTTGACTTCTTGCAAAAGGTAATTTTTTTTCACTCACTTTCGGTGGAAGACATTTATGGGCTCGAGTCTCAAGTCTCAACTTTGTTGAACAGTCGGCCATACCTGGTCAGGCTGCTGAAAATAGTCCAATGCCAGTCTGGAGATTTTCTATCCATTTTCCATCCGAATTGTTTTGTTTGTGATTCGAGTCTACTCAATAATCAAGAAGGTTAACCTGGTTGATCCGTCGGTCAAAAGTCTCAGTTAAAAACATATAGGAAGACTCTTAGAAAATCCGATCATTTTCCTTTTTATGAAGGTGGGATTATGCTCTTCTGGGTAGGACCATTACGCCCAAATGAAAGATGGTCTAATTTAGTGTTGGAGCACCAGGAGAATTTTTTCAACAATGACAACCCAAAAAAGCATACATATCGCATACGAAAGTTCTGAATTGAATTAGTAATGATACAATGTCAACCATTTGATAATTCTTTCTGTAGGAGTTCCCAGTTAGTTTTCTTCTGTAGTTTTTATTATGTTATCATCTCTAGAGTTGATACTTTTCCTCAATAATTTCTTGACCTAAAAAGTAAACTAAGAATGTGTTTGGATTGCATTTTTCATGATTTTTCATAGAAAAATTACTGTAGCGATTTAATGTATATGAGGAAAAAAGATAATATGAAAATATGATAATGGAAAACAACGTAATTTCCCGACGAAAAACTGCAATCCAAACAAAGCCAAAGTACGGTGATTGTTAAACTACGCCTCCATAAGTTCATGCGGGACTCTTTTTTTTTTTTTTTTTGGTTTTGGTTTACAATACCAATAGGTCTAAAAACAAGAAGAAATTGAAGTATTGATAACAACTCTAGCGTCGTTTGATTCAAATTCCACAATTACTTTCACTATAGGAATCATTGACGAATAATGATATCGAGTTATAAAAACTGTACAATATTATTAAGATATATTAAATAAATTGTACAATAGTGACAAGATACAATAAATAAATAAAACTCTGCTTTTCTTTTTGATAATTAATTGATTTCAGTTGACGTTACACAAACATTCAATACGAATTTAATTGAAATTGAAACCCAAGTCTTGACTTGAAAGTTGAAACCTACTCACCAAACCCCTCTAATTAGTTATTAATTAAAAAAGAAAAAAAAAAAGAAAGAAATGCCAGCCCGCTGTCCACAACTCCAACTCCCCTGAATCTCGACCCCCTCTTTCAACCCCAAACCCGCACGTGACTGTCGGGAACGCGGGCGCACCGCGCAGTACCAGCAGCCTTTTTCTTCCACTGAACTCTCTCAAGTCTCAACTTGCAACTGGGCCTCCGCCATTAGTCGCCGTCAACTCCACTGTGGAAAACTCGCCGGAAAATCAACTAACCGATTAAAATACTCCACCCAACTGCAATACAGGTCAGC